GCTCCTCCAGTACGCGCGTCAGATGGGGAGGGGGATGGGGGAACTCCTCCTCGTTCTCCTCCTCCTCCTCCTCCTCCTCCTTCTTCGTCCTCCCCCTCCTCGTCCTCATCCTCATCGACCTTATCATCGTCGTCCTCCTTCGCCTTGTCTTTCTCCTCCACCCTCCGCCTGCCTCCTCCTCCTCCTCCTCCTCCTCCTTCTCTGCCTCGTCCTCCTGGAGGAGGTGGATTCGCACCCTGTCCTCGGCCCTGCGCCTGCAGGCTGCGCTGCAGGTTCGAGCGCAGCGCGCTGCCCGCCGGGTTCGAGGGGGAGCTGCTGTCGGACCTCGCCGCGGCCTCGTTCGAGCTGGCGCTGGCGCCGGACAGGGCAGGCGCCCCAGCAGAGGCATCCTCTGCTCCCGTCGCCGCCGTTGTAGTCGTTGTTGCCCTCCTCGCCCTCATCCTCGGCCTCCTCCTCCCCCGAGACCCTTGCGTTTTCGCCCAGTGTCGGGCCCCAGGACCCTCACTGGTCACCGTCCTCCGTCCTCTGTTTTACGGGCGCAGCCCGTAATTTGATTCTCGCGAGGTAGACACTGACAGACTGAACTGAACCACCAGGCCGTTAGATGGCAGTTTTATTTCCGCGGGTGAGGATATTTCGGGTGGCAGTTTTAATATTTCGGTGGCAGTTTTAAGCCAGCGGGTGAGAGGATATATCGGTGGCAGTTTTAAGCGCCAGCGGGTGAGGATATTTCGGTGGCAGTTTTAAGCCAGCGGGGTGCAATATCTCCGGTGGAGGATATTTCGGGTGGCTGGCAGTTTTACGCCACGGGTGGGATATGTCGGGGGCAGGTTTAAGCAGCAACAGCATGCGACGTGAAAGAGGTCGATCCGTGCAGTTTTAAGCCAGCGGGTGGAGATATTTCGATGAGGATATTTCGGTTGGCCCGTTTTAAGCAGCGGTTGAGATATCCTCGGTGGCAGGTTTCGCCATCGGGTGAGGATATCTCGGGTTGGGCATGTTTTTAACCAGCGGGTGAGGATATCTCGGTGGCAGTTTTGAGCCAGCGGGTGAGGAAATTTCGGTGGCAGTTTTAAGCCAGCAGGTGAGGATATTTCGGTGGCAGTTTTATTTCCGCGGGTGAGGATATTCCAGAGGCAGTTTTAAGCCAGCGGGTGAGGATTTTTCGGTGGCAGTTTTAAGCCAGCGGGTGAGGATATTTCGGTGGCAGTTTTAAGCGCCAGCGGGTGAGGATGTTTCGGTGGCAGTTTTAAGCCAGCGGGTGAGGATATCTCGGGTGAGGATATTTCGGTGGCAGTTTTACGCCAGCGGGTGAGGATAGTTCGGGTGGCAGGTTTAAGCCAGCGGGTGAGGATATCTCGCGTGGCAGTTTTAAGCCAGCGGGTGAAGATATTTCGGATGAGGATATTTCGGGTGGCAGTTTTAAGCCAGCGGGTGAGGATATCTCGGGTGGCAGGTTTAAGCCAGCGGGTGAGGATATCTCGGGTGGCAGTTTTAAGCCAGCGGGTGAGGATATCTCGGGTGGCAGTTTTAAGCCAGCGGGTGAGGATATTTCGGTGGAAGATTTAAGCCAGCGGGTGAGGATATCTCGGGTGAGGATATTTTGGTGGCAGTTTTAAGCCAACGGGTGAGGATATTTCGGGTGGCAGTTTTAAGCCAGCGGGTGAGGATATTTCGCGTGGCAGTTTTAAGCCAGCGGGTGAGAGGATATTTCGGGTGGCAGTTTTAAGCGCCAGCGGGTGAGGATGTTTCGGTGGCAGTTTTAAGCCAGCGGGTGAGCATATCTCGGGTGAGGATATTTCGGTGGCAGTTTTAAGCCAGCGGGTGAGGATATTCCGCGTGGCAGTTTTACGCCAGCGGGTGAGGATATCTCGCGTGGCAGTTTTAAGCCAGCGGGTGAAGATATTTCGGATGAGGATATTTCGGGTGGCAGTTTTATGCCAGCGGGTGAGGATATCTCGGGTGGCAGTTTTAAGCCAGCGGGTGAGGATATCTCGGGTGGCAGTTTTAAGCCAGCGGGTGAGGATATTTCGGTGGAAGTTTTAAGCCAGCGGGTGAGGATATCTCGGGTGAGGATATTTTGGTGGCAGTTTTAAGCCAACGGGTGAGGATATTTCGGGTGGCAGTTTTAAGCCAGCGGGTGAGGATATTTCGCGTGGCAGTTTTAAGCCAGCGGGTGAGGATATCTCGGGTGGCAGTTTTAAGCCAGCGGGTGAGGATATTCCGCGTGGCAGTTTTAAGCCAGCGGGTGAGGATATTTCGGTGGCAGTTTTAAGCCAGCGGGTGAGGATATCTCGGGTGGCAGTTTTAGGCCAGCGGGTGAGTATATCTCGGGTGAGGATATTTCGGTGGCAGTTTTAAGCCAGCGGGTGAGGATATTTCGGGTGGCAGTTTTAAGCCACGATGCACAAGTCCCAGGGCATGACAATTCCTTGTGTTGCTGCAAACTTGGGCGACACGGAAATGCATCTGGGCGGTACGTTTACCGTCTTGTCTCGGGTGCCTGCCTTGACTGGTCTTGCTTTGGAACGTGGCTTGAATTTCGACCGGTTGGCCAAGATCAACCAGAGCCGGTCTTTGTTGGCACGGAAAGAATACGAAGCTGCGAAATGGCCACCGCTCGAAGCCAATGCGCTTCGACATTTTCAGTCGGTCCTTGCAGAGCTGTTGCTGAAACGGGGGTCTCCCGAAGCAGCTGTGCTGGACACGATCGGCGGCTTGGCCGAAACAGCAGCTGAGCAATTGTCACTGCCTGACTTCACTGCGGAACTGTGAGCACTTTCTAGGGTGGAAACGCTGCGCAATCATCGTGGCGGCGACGGCCGGTGCCATTTCTACCATAATTTCTACCGGGAGAGTGCGGAAGGGCTCTCGCACGGGGGCGGCTTGTGCAGTTTGAGCAGAGATGGCACCCACGACGAAGAGGAGGGGGCAGGAGCAGGAGGAGGAGGAGGAGGAGCAGGATGATGATGATGATGATGATGATGATGATGATGACGATGATGATGATGATGATGATGATGATGATCATGATGATCATGGTGCTGATGCTGAGGAGGACGATGATGATGATGATGATGATGAGGATGAGGATGAGGATGAGGATGAGGATGAGGATGAGGATGAGGATGATGACGATGAGGATTATGACGGCGGGGATGAGGCGATGGAAGGAGGACGAGGGAGGAGGAGGGGTGGAAGGAGGGCACGGAGATCGTGGAAAGGGTGCTCGCAAGGAGAGTGGCAAGGGGAAGAGGAAGGCGCTGGACGAGGAGGCCGACGAGGAGGAAGGAGGCGGAGGACAAGGCAAGAGGCGGCGGGAGGAGGATTTCATTGAAAATGGACGACGGGGGGGGGAGATCAGCTCGAGGGCGGAGGACGCGGACGGGATGAGGAGGCGGCAGAAGGGAGGAGGAGGTGGAAGTGGAGGAGTCGTAGGAGGAGGAGGAGGAGGTGGAGAGGAGGAGGAGGAGGAGGAAGAGGAGGGAGGAACCGAGAAGAGCTCTGTGCTCGGCCCGGGCATCCAGCCGCCACGCGATGCATCATCTGCATGGTCGGCCCAGCCGACGGCTACGCCTCCAGCGAGGTGCTGCGCCCGTATATATGCTCGCCCCTTGGCGTGGGGCTGGCGGGGGGCCAAGGGGCGAGCTGTCCGGTGATTTTGTCGTCGTTGTCCCTGTTCCTCGGCGCTTTGGCTGCTGCTGCTGAGGCGTCTCCTCCCACGGCCCATCCTGCCGCGGCTCCTCCAGCTCTCTCGCTCCCGCTCCTGCCTCGCTCCTGCTCCCGCCGCAGTGATGCTGCGCCCGCTGCTCCCTTGCGCAGCGGGCGCTCTTGCTTCTGCAGCTGCTGCTGCAGCTGAACCCTCTGGAGGCCTCCAGATGCCTCCCGAACGCTCCCAAGCCTGGATCCTCGATTCTCTCGCCTCCTCCTCCTCCGCCATTCCCTTCCTTAGAAGCAATTCCTCCTTGTCGCACCCCGAGGCCAGTCGGAAGGGCGGCCTCGGCGTTTCGCTTGAGATTTTCCCTTCGCATTTATGATCCTGAATCATATAGGAGGGAAAAAACACACAGACACAATTAATCGTCGATCCCCAGGAAAATATGGGAGAATATGGGAAGTGGGGGGGAATACAGAAACCCAGAAAACATGGGAACATATGGGGGATCGTTTTATTTGTGTGTCCCAGGGCCCCTTCGAACATCGGCAACGCTGTCACAGATGGAGGGCGGGCCGCTTCCAAAATGTGGCTCTCGCGCCAGCGCCGCGCACACTCGCATGAAGACTCGTGGGAGTTTCGCGGATGGAGGGCGGGCGGTTTTAAGCATGTGGCCCTCGCCACGGTGCCGCGCACACTGGTTAACAAAACTGATCAGGAGGGGAAAAAACACACAGACACAATTAATCGTCGATTCCCAGGAAAACATGGGGAAATATGGGAAGTGGGGGGGGGGAAGGCAATCACCCAGCAAATATGGGAAAATATGGGGAATATTTTTAGTTGTGTGTATTTATTTGTGTGTCCTGTGGCCCCTTCAACTGAAGGGTTTCACAGATGGAGGGCGGTTCCCTTTCGACATGCGGCTCTCTCTCATTGACGCCGCGCGCATTCGCTTAACACAGATGCAGAGCTGAATGGGATCGCATGGTTAGGGTACCATAAACCGTGTTTTGGAGCGATTCGGGATTGTTAGGGCGCAGTAGTTCGTTGATTCGCGGTGCTGAAGTCCCAGACCTTTAACCCGTGCCACCCGCAAGTCTAGTTGTTAGCGGAACTGGGGACGATTCCAGCTCGCGATCGATCCACGGACTGCGCAGGGTCCGATGGTGACGCAGATTCATATTGCCCCCAATCTGGTCAATGTCGACACCCTCCATCCCCTCAACAGTTTGTGCTTATAGCTGTTCTGCAAGTCTTCGGGCAATTCGCCCTGGCCACTCACTGACACGATGAGGCCAACGCCAGACCGTACCAGACATGAGGATCCAGAGGGCAAAAAGCAACTGCAGGGTACGCGAAGTGGGACGCCAGCCCACGAGAGCGGCACGGCGTCTCCCACAACCCATCGTACCCCACAGGTACTGGCCGTGGCGTGGCGTCGGGAATGACAGCGAGCCGCCGACCTGGGATCGTGCCGTGCTTCATGATGTGTGCGGCAGGGCTGGCTTGCCTATTTGCGAGCACGCCGCACCGCACGAATGGAGCACTGAACTTTGATGTACCCATTTCACCACCCTTGGCACCAGTCAGGGGCACCAACACCGCTACGGCTGTCACCTGCCTCAACATGGCGTTCTCCCTGCGCAGGCCCGAGGCCCAACTCGCTACCGCAGCTTTCATCGCTGTGGAGTCTTATCGAGGAGGATCATCATCTTGGCGCTCGGGGGCAGCATCTTTCTTATCACCAGTCTGATGTCGCAGATGCGTATTTTTGTCCCGACTGAAGGCCGCAGCCAGCCTGACACGGATCCAACGAACGCTGTAGACACGTGCGGATGCAGCCAGCACGACGGCTACGCCATGACCGTTGTTCACTTGGGTTCTTCGTTTCACCCGCCTCTTCAATCAGTTCGGCAACTCTGGGCTGCCGTGCTTCGTCTTCTTCTTGTTCTTCTTCGAGGCGAACTTCGACAGTGACCCTGCTACTGTCTACACCGACCCTCTTCCAGGATGAGTCGTTCCGGCATGCCGCTGGCATCTACTGCTGTCGCGCCGCGCATTGCTTGGGAGTCTTGTCGTAAGCTCTTCCCCAAGGAACGTTGCGTGCTACACTACGTGCGGTCCTTGCCACGACCGCTCGTCGGCTTCACCGCAGGCATGCCGCTTCACTCACTTCAATCAACATGGCAGCAGGGTCAGGCACTCGGGGCAGAGCTGCGCCACTCACTTGGCAACGTGACCTGTTGACCACGTCGTCCAGCGCTCTGCGTGCTGTGCGCGCTGGCGCCCGGACGCACAACGACCAGAGTGTATAGCTTCAGGCGCGCTGGCGCATGCGTTGTGCCTTCGGCCGCCGCGGCGACGCTTGAGCCGCGGTGCCGCGCGCCCGCCGCCGCCGCCGCGGCTCAAGCGCATGGAAGGGAAAAGGACTGCTGGTATGCTCTCACCATTGCCGCCGTGCCCTCTACATTCTACCCATGCCACGCGCAATTCTAGTCCCTCCTCTTCCTCCTCCCCCTCCTCCTTTTCCCCGTCCTCCTTCTCCTCCTCCCCCCTCCTCCTCCCCCTCCTCCTCCTCCTCCTCGTCCTCCTCTTCGTCCTCCTCCTCCTCCTCCTCCTCCTCCTCTCCGCGTCCTCCTCTTCCTCCTTCTCCTCCTCGTCGTCTTCCTCCTCACCTTCTCCTCCTCCTCCTCTTCCTCCTCCCCCTCCTCCTCCTCCTCCTCTTTCTCCCCCTTCTCCTCCTCCTCCTCCTTCTCCTTCTCCTTCTCCTCTTCCTCCTCCTTCTTTTATTCCTCCTCTTATGCTTTCTATTATTATTCCTCCTCCTCCTGCTCCTTCTCTCCTCCTGCTCCTCTTCCGTTCCTTTTGCTTATGAGCACTTTCTCTTTGTCGCACACCGAGGCCAGTTTTTAGGGCGGGCCGCGCGTTTCGCTTGAGACTTCCTCACCACTCATGACACTGAAGTTTAATAAGTGAATAGTTTTACAGGTTGAGGGCGGGTGGTTTTCAACATGTGACTCTCGCCTTAGCGCCGCGCGCATTCGTTTTCAACATGTGCAAATGTATCACGGAATGAAGGCGGGTGGTTTTCAAAATGTGGCTCTCTCTTTAGCGCCGCAAGAGCTTCGCGGATTGAGGGCGGATCGTTTTGAACATGTGGCTCTCTTCTTAGCGCCGCGCGCATTCGTGTTGAACATTTGCAATAGTTTCACGGATTGAGGGCGGTTCCTTTTCAAACTGTGGCTCTCGCTTTCGCGCCGCGCACACCCGTTTTTTCAACATTGCAAGAGTTTCACGGATTGTAGGCGGCTCTTTTTCAAAATGTGACTCCCGCCTTAGCGCCGCGCAGATTCGTTCATACAATTTGGAAGAATTTCGTGGGTTCCCATGGTCAGCGTACCAGAAATTCTTGACGCTTCGCTTCGTCGCGTAGTTCGCTCCTGCGTGCTTAGTGCCTAATTTAGAGCTTGGCGCGGCTGCCCTGTTTCTCGACGGCGCGCGGTTGGACCGCGACGATCGCGTACGAAACAGTATCCCCACCAGCCCATCCAGAAACGATCAGCAGGGGAGTCGGTGAATCAGGGGCGGCAGGACGCATGCAGTTGCGCAGCCGTTTTCGGGAAAATAATGATCCCAAATAGCTTCTCGCATTGAAGTTTGATATGGAAATCGGTGCAAGCTACGGTGGTGCTTCGATGAGGGGTGAGGGGTGTTTCGATGACTCGTAATGGCTGTTGCACTGATTGCGAAGGCCTTGCGGCCGGTGCCGCCGATCCTGAGAACGACGAATATGAAAACGAGGGGGGGGCAGGGGAGGAGGATGAGTGGGAGGTGGAGCAGGGTGGAGAAGGTTGCTGAGGGCCGAGGAAGGGGGGAGAAGGATGTCGCTGAGAAGCAAGGAGGCAGAAGAAGCAGAGGAGAGCATGAGGAGGGGAAAGCCGAGGGGTGGGAAGGAGGCAGGAGGAGGCTGAGTCGGAGGAGGAGGAGAGAGGGGGAGGAGGAGGAGGGAGGCGGAGGAGGCTGAGGAGGAGGAGGAGGAGGCGGAGGATGAGGAGCGGGAGGAGGAGGAGAGGGGAGGAGGAGGGAGGAGGCAGGAAGGGGCGGGAGGATGAGGAGTCGGAGGAGAGCGGAGGAGGAGAGGAGGAGGAGGAGGAGGAGGAGGAGGAGGAGGAGGAGGAGGAGGAGGAGGAAGAGGAGGAAGAGGAGGAGGCCAGAGGCTTTCTTGGGACAGCGTGGGGCTCTCTTGAGGCCGTCTTGGGCCGTCCAGGG